ATTGATTGAAATCCTGAAGCTAGTTTATAGTAAGAGTAGTGGAATTTTGAATAGCTAATTAACCTATCTTCTAATCAATGTTTGTTAGTTTGATTGTCTGTTAAATTTGACCTTTTCCTTTGAGTGACTTGCTGCTTTCCAACTCCATGAGAGAAATCCTTTGCCTTAAACAGTTACTATCGCGTGAGGATATGGAGTTGAGGCTTTTACTTTGATTAATTCTCAAGGCTATATATGTTGTGGTTTGTGGTGTGAAGGTTATGCTTAGTTCACACACACTTTTGGAAGTTATAATTGAAGTAATCTTGATAGCAACTGTGATCTTTTTCCAAATGCCTAGGTAGGCTTGTTAGATATCCATTTGAGTTAATCAACATGCTTTCTTTTTTAATTCACGCTTGAATTGCTAGAGACTAGCAATAAGCTGGTTGGGGGTTGTGATGAAAGCATGAAAATGTATATTTAAAGTGTGTTTGACCATTAGCATTTGTGGAATTATGGGCTTAGGAGTTGTGCTTTTTTACAAGTAATTTCATAAGTGTCCATTCTATTTATGTTCAAATTTTTTATGATTGAAGGTTTGATAATTAAATGGAGATAATGCAAAGAGCCAGAAAGATGAGGATCCAATGATCAAATTTAGAAGTTTGAAGGCTCAAGTGGGATTTTTTCCATTTTTGATTAAGGAGCAAATTTCATGAAGTTGAAGTGTTAATGAGGAGTTGGAACCTGTTTTCAGGTTCCAACCCCTGGTCAATGCAAAAGGATGGACAGTAGCATGAGGGATTCCACACTCTGTGATCAGGTTCCAACCCCTGGTCAGTGTAAAACAAATTTAATTCTTCATTGTGAGAACTCTTTTTGTTGATTTAATATAACTTCCTGTGGATTCAACACTTATAGTTACGCTACAACAACCACTCAGCCAAAGGGTTTTAATTTTGGGGCAAGACATCACTTAGTCTGCTTAGTTGCAGCAAGATGCCCTGGACAAACCCTTAACATTTCTTGGAGTGGGTAGATGATATTTTGTGAGGTTATATTTGTTTCCTTTTTCCTCTGGAATATGAAGATCTCTTTTTAATTCACTACCGAAAGTAATATAATTTAGCTTTCTTATTCTATAGTATGCCATTAGAAATTGCTTTGATTATATGTATTCACCTTGCTGCCTTGGCTTAGTTCAAGAAAAGTGGTTATTTCTTGATTTAAGAGCGAGTAAAGTTATTTTCTGTGAGTTATGTTCATTGTATGGACTTTATTTCTATTTCTAGAATATTAATCATTGCATATTATGTCTACAGCATTCTGAGGCCATCAGGTGTGCCTCAAATGGAAAGGTGCAGTCCCCTTGCACCTTTTGTACCTTATATTAGTGTGTGCCTGTGCTTTGCCCTTGTGCATTGGCTCTTGCCTACAAGACCCTTTAAGTGTCTAGGTGTGCCTAGTGCATGTTAAGGCTTAACTGATTAGTTTCCTGAAAGGTAAATGGGGATGGAATAGTATTTCACTCTTGATTGAACCAATTGGAATGTGGCT